AAAAAACACACCTTGATTTCTTGATAAGGAGCTTTTTGGCTCAAAGGAGTTCAGCTCTTATACAATTGATGGCAAAGTATGAGAATATTAAAGCGAATATCATTGTATACTCTTACCTTAATTTGTTAAGATAGAAAGAATTTCATAATAGAAGACTTAGAAATATAAATAAATAGAGATTGAGAATATTAGAAGAACAATGCCTTAAGAGAAGGGAGGAAAAAGAAAAATGAGGGAGCAGAAGGTTTGGTTGTTGTGGCCAGGCCAAAGGTGGGTTGGGAGGGGGGTTGATGGTGTAATGAGGGAGATTAGCAATACGGTGATGTGCATATTTTAGAGGGATATCAATGAGAACATAAGGGAGCAGAAGGGAAGTGATGCAAGTGAGTTGGAAATCTTTAATTTGGTCAATTTTTATTTATGTAGCTGAAAATTGAAAGTACAAAGGTCTGTCACAAATGATAATTTATTAGTCATTTATAAAAATTATAACGAATTCGAAATACTAAGGATTTGTTTGGGATAGCTTTTTGGCTGCTTTGTTTTTTAAACAACAATCACAATTTTCATTTGGGTATTATTTTCTCACAATTCTTCAAAAATTTTTGTGATGAAAAGTTTCTTTCCGCAACCATAGTAGCGAAGTTACTTTCTCTATAGCAAATGCACAATCAACTTTATAAAATGCTTCAGCCATTCCAAACAGACCCTTAATTACACAATCTTTAGTTTTAGAACTAGAGTGAATGCTTGCTTGATTTATTTGTCCATGTTCGATTCACTGCCAAAGCAATGCTTAAGATTTCGTTTGTGATAACTTTTTTACTGTTTTGCTTTTCAAATCATAACAATAATTTTTGTTTGACCACTATTTATTCGCTGCTTTAAAAAAAAATTGTATTATTAAGCTACTTTCTACAACAACTAAATTTTTTCTTTCTCTACAACAGCTTTACAAAACAATATGACTTCGTTTGAGATGACTTTCTTACTACTTCTTAAAGCTAAAATTTTTTGTACTAGAAAGCTATTTTAAGAAGCAGTAAGAAAGCCGTCCCAAACGAAGTCTAAGAAAGTCATCCCAAATGAATCCAAAGTTCTTCAAAAACTGTATCATTTGACCACTTTATTTATATTTCAGATTCAGGTGATTGATTCACTGCCTAATGTTTTTCCAAGAATAGAGGTTTGGGTGGAAGAGGTTCTCCTTGATGAAGGAAACGCGACCATACTGACCCTCTTTGTATGCCTCCTTACTGTTCTCTATCTCCGTGAACGCCAGCGACGAAACGTAGTGGCTCCTCCTCAGCAACCAGACGATGCACCCAACTAGTCTTTGGGAAATGGGCATTTATTGTACGTAAGTCGTAGCTTCTTCTCTTGTTTTGCAGATATAATTATTTTAATACTGAGAAAATTGTGAATTTATCAATATTTTGATAGTTAAATAGCTAGATAATGAAGAGCCTTAGATCAATTGTAATAAAAATCATAGAATGCAAATAAGGTAGTTAAAGCCATTGAGCAGAGTCATAGTATATTGCAAAAAATGATGAACAAAATATTTTTCATTTCCTCACTCCAATATTGGAAAAATTATTAGGTCCAGACATCTGACGTAGCTCTACATCCGGACGCCAATAATATGTCGTCACATGCTCTTACTTTTTACCGCGCGGCCCGACGACCCGACCCAGACTGGAACCCGGTATTGCTATGTTTGGGAATTGCTAGGCATTGCTCGGTATTGCTAGGTATTGCTTGACAATAATGGGAAATATCGTTTTTTCAAGACCAATACCTAGCAATATCGAGCAATACCTAGCAATATCGAGCAATATCTAGCAATACCTAGAAAAACCTGGGTATTGCTAGGTATTGCTCGGTATTGCTATGTATTGGACTTAACAGAGTGGTATTTATCATTATTGCTAACCAATACCGAGCAATACCTAGCAATACACAAATCAGTCAATACATAGCAATATTGGGTCCGGGTCATCGGGCCGCGCGGTAAAGAGTAAGAGCACGTGGCGACATATTATTGGCGCCCGGATGTAGAGCTACGTCAGGTGGCTGGACCTAATAATTTTTTCCAATATTGGGACTTTTTTTGTAACAGAACCTTCAGTTTAACTCGTCATTTTATTTGAGGAATGTGTGGATCAGACTCCATTAAAACAAAGAATACACTTCTGTTGAATGTTTTTTTGAAGCAAAGCCTCATGAGGAAGAGCAAACACAGCAAAAGCATCAGATCTCATAGGCTCCAATAAAGATTTTCCCTCAAGCCAGTCAGTCTATCATCATGAAAGCAATATTTCTTTTATAAATAGAGTCATAATATTGAGGTGATTTTTAGAAAAAAAGAAATAATAGGTGTAGTATTCAAGATTAGGGATATAAACGAGTCAAGTTGAGTTTAACTTGAGCTCAGCTCGTTGGCTAAGTCGTGAGCTTGAGCTCGAGCTCAAATGGTGTGTTGGGTCCTGTCAATGGTTGCAGACTCGTGAGGTGTAAAAAGAACGGGTCGACATTCACTTCCGCTTCCGGTTTTGGGTTCGACCTTCCGCTTTCGCAACTACTTTTTATGTGTTCACTTCGGCTTGATAATACAATGAGCTCGTAAATCTGCTCAAGTTTGAAACTCGATAAGCTCGGCTCGTGTGCTTGTTATCGAGTCAAGCTTGAACAAGCTCATGAATCAGCTTGACTCGTTTGCTTCCCTAATCGACATAGAGAAATAAGAGCTCGACCATCACAATTTGAGCAAAGAGTAATTAGTTAAATGTGCTCCAACCACTTTTCATGTGACAAGCCATGTTTATGTTAGAAGGGGAAATATGTCCCACACAACATTTCTCCTTAGGTTTATCTGCAATGTTCCAAGGAATAATTACGGACTTCTTAATTGTGTTATTGTCAAGGAAGAAATTATTTATCGAACTATTGATTTTTTCTTTGGTAGCTGTAGAAATTTATGTAGACATAAATCAATCGGCAAAATAATAATTAATGGATGGCTTTATTATACTGCAAAAACTCTCTGTAACGAAACGGGTGAAATTATTCTGTGCGGATACGGTCATCATATAGAGGCGAATCAAAATGTTCCACATCATCCATTTGTTGTGTATCAGATGATGTGGCATGTTCAGATTTGTTATTTATATTAGTTGCATTTAAGTAAGAGGCAATTGGAGCATTTAATTATATTTATTTTTATATTCAATTAAGATTAATTAATATATTATTTTTATTATTTATAAATTAATACATACTTTAGCAATCAATAATATAATTTATTAATCAATATTCATTATATATATAGCATTATAAAACTGATTTTGGCCTTTATTTTTATTATTTATTGTGATTAATTAATCATTTTTAAAAATAATTATTTATAATTATTTTTTATTTAAGCAAATAAATAAAAAATATATATTTTGAATTCCCTAATGCTTTTAAATCTTCATTCACATTTGTTGAATACCCGTTCATATTCTCCTTTTATTATCTCATACTATTCTTATTCCTTTTTATCATGATTTTAATTATTATTAATTAAATATCTCTTAATATTCCCCTCTTTGTATCCCTTATATTTATTATACATATTCATATTCCCCTCTTCGTATCCCATACAATTTTTATTCCTCTTTGTATACCATACAATTTTTATTCCTCTTCGTATTCTCCTCTTCATAACTCTTTCTATTCCTTGTTATATTATATATTACAATTACTGCAACTCATCAAACTCTCACCCTATCTGAAATTCTACACAATCCTTCACGATCTCTTGTATTTCTATGGTGTTGGAAAGATGATATGGCTGCAGTGCTTCTAACAACTCCTCCGCAATGGTAGTATTGCGATGACGAGAAGA